CGCAGTGAGAGGTAGAGCCATGGCAACCCGAGCAGGAGAAAATAACTAATGAATACCTTATTCTGATCTGATACCAAAATTTGGTATTGACCAGCATGACATAAGAGGTAAAATACCAAAGAATAATACCAAAAAATTACATGGAAAGTACTTTGTAAATACCAAAAAATTATATTTGGATACCAAAAGAATATCTGGGTGGTATTGTTTTGGTATTGCATTATCATAATTTGGTATTGGAATGGTATTGTGGGAACATTTTTTGGTATTATTTTTTGGTATTTTACCTCTTATGTCAGGCTCATCCATACCAATTTAAGGTATCGAGATATTCGTTCCTGCTCGGGAAACAATAGTCACTAGTAATGGTCGCTGCTCACAAGCAAAACGTTACACTCGCTGCTGATGACAACGAAAACAGTGAACACTTCTGCTGTACGACCATGAGAAAAAGCGAAACGACAGAAGAAAATGAAAACAATACCTACGCATTCCAAGTTCGTCTCGGCAGGCGCGTGACTGTGTGAGTTACAAACAAAGCAGGCAACATTAAACGGAAGTTGTTGGGCTCACTCACCAACACACTCACATATGCAAGCAAAGCAGCAACTGCTTCAAAACGAGCACAGATGAGTGTCGTGATTGTCGGGAATGACCAGATCGGTGATGGTTCACAACCGAAGATGACGTTCACCAGTTGCGTTTTACTTCTTTCGTCAACTTGGTGGATGGTCATGGAGAGAGCTTCGACGAGCACATTGATAGGAATGTACAAAGCGTTACTACCATCAGCTGTTTGACGATCGTGATTGTGATAGGTCGCAACTCTGGTATGGACAATTGTCTGCGCAGTGGGAGGGGGGAGGGTCAAGACTCCCAAAAAACTGTCTATGTAGATTATGTACAGCACCACCGGATTCCTTATTACCGAGCTATCCACGAATAAAGATACCCATAGCTTATGGGATTTTCACTAATAGGGGCTGTTGTGGATTATCTTATTTGTTTCAAAATATAGAGCTATACTGTCTGCGACAAAGTTTTTTTTTCACTGGGATAGACCAACAAGCCTGCGTTATTGGATTCAGGTTTAATTGGGAACTATGCCGCTAGAGGTGCTTCACTTTTATGTTACTTATGACAGGCGCTATAATATATGGATCTTAGGTCCAACATAGAATATTTCGTGAATCTGGCCATACAGAAAGTTGCTGTCTTCAGCAAACTTGTTCAAATGACCAAGTCCTTTCGGAAGGTGGCCATATTAGTTCAGAACTCTCTCACTACACAGCGCTAGTGTGCACATGAGCTTCCTGTGTAAGCTGTATCTTAAAATCATGGCCATATAGAAGGTTACTGTCCTGAGCAAAGTCGTTCAGGTGATCATGTCCTTTTGGATGAATATCATATTAGTTCAGAACTCTCTCACTACGCAGCACTAGTTTGCATGTGGACTTCCTGTATAAACTGTATCTCGAGAACCTGGCCGTATATAAAGTTGCTGTCTTCAGCAAAGTTATTCAGGTGACCAAGTCTTTTCGGATGGTGATATTATTATTTCAGACCTCTCTCATCAGCGCTCATGAAGTTCATTTATATGTTATGTCTCGAAAGCTTGTCCGTATAATATGTTGCTGTGCAATGTGAGAACAGGAACCAGAAAAGGATGACTTGTAGAGAGGCTGGAAATCGATTTCGGATGCCATTTTAAAATCCAAGATAGCGGTCATCGGTTCAAGAAAAACTGTCAAACACCCTACAATACGGGTATTTTCGGAAAGAGGATGACAAGTAGAGGTTGAAAATCGATGCCAGACGCCATTTTGGAATCCAAGATGGTGGCCATTGGTTCAAGAAAAACTTTCAAATAGCCTACAATATGGGTATTTCCGGAAAGGGGATGACGTGTAGAGGCCGGAAATCAATGTCAGACGTCATTTTTGAATCCAAGATCCATCGGTTCAAGAAAAACTGTCAAATACCCTTCAATATGGGTATTTCTGGAGAGGGGATGATGTTTAGAGGCCAGGGAATCAAAATCAACGATTCAGATAAAGAAAATGTCATTCTCATTTTGGTTACACTCATGATCAATACAAACCCAAAAATCACAATGGACAGTTCTGGAAACTATATAGCGATTATCATTTGTGTTACAGATCATGATCATATCAAATAGCGATAATCTCCGATCATCACCGTCAACTGCAATATCAAATACCTTACAATATTGGTATTTTTGGAATTGGGGTGTCGTATAGGTGTCGAAAATTGATGTCCACCGCCATTTGGAAATCCAAGATGGCGGTCATCGATTTCAGCAAATAAAACTGTCAAATACCCTACAATATGAGTATTTTCGAAACGGAGATGATATGCAGATGTAGAAAACTGATGTCTGCCGCCATTTTGGAATTCAAGATGGCTGCCATTGGTTTTAGAAATAAAAAACTGTCCTCTACAATATGGGTATTTTTGGAACGGAGATGTAATGTAGACGTCGGAAATCGATGTCCTCTGCTATTTTGATTGTTTTTTTTTTCTGAATCCAACTGCCGCCATATTGGATTCCAAAATGCTGGCGGACATTACATTTTTGGCCTATACACGTCATCTCAGTTCTGAAAATTCCCAAATTGTACGGCATTTCACTTTTTTTTTGGAAACCAACGGCTGCCTCTTGGATTTTAAAATAGCAGCGGACATTGATTTTCGACATCTTAATGTTATCCTGGTTCCAAAAATACCCATATTGTAGGGTATTTGTCCTCCAGAACAACTCTTCCGAAGACAGCAGATTTCGAGATCATTACGCAGTGATTGTTATCATATCAATGGATTATCATTTTTGTTTCTGATCATGGTGTGTACCACAAATGATAACCCATGATATCAGATGTACACTACTCATGATTTCGCTTACTAGTGTTATTATCGTCGGTTAGCATCGGAAGATATGATTTTCTTGATTCCCTGGTAGAGGCTGGATATCGATTCCAGACACCCATATTGTAGTCTATTTGACAGTTTTTATTGAACCGATGGCCGCCATCTTGGATTCCAAAAAACGTTTGGCATCGATTTCCGGCCTCTACACGTCATCTCCTTTCCGAAAATACCCATATTGTAGGGTATTTGACAGTTTTCTTGAACCGAAGGCAACCATCTTGGATTTAACTGAACAACTTTGCCGACGGCAGCAACCTTCTATATGGCCAGGATTTTGAGATACAGCATATACAGGAAGCTCATGTGCACACTAGCGATGCGCAGTGAAAAAAATCTGAACTAATATGGCCACCATCCGAAAGGACTTGGTCACTTGAACAACTTTGCTCAAGACAGCAACTTTCTGTATGGCCAGGATCACGAAATATTCTATGTTGGACCTAAGATCCATATATTATAGCGCCCGTCATGAGTAACATAAAATTGAAGCGCCTCTAGCGGAATAGTTCCCAATTAAACCTGAATCCAATAAAAAAGGCGTGTTGTTCTATCCTAGTACAATAACTTTGTCGAAGACAGTATAGCATTATATATTGAAACAAATGAGATAATCCACCACAGCCCCCATTAGTGAAAATCCCATAAGCTGTGGGTATCCTTATTGCCGGTTCCTTATTCACGCCCCCACTACCCCGGCAATAAGGATTCATGTACATTCAAAGTATTTTTTGTTACTTCATACGTGAAGTTTACGATTTTCAGAATTGGGAGGAAATGCTATACTAATATCAACATGAAACTTTAGTGCGATAATTTATTAGCTCTAGTTCTAGACTTTTTCATAAATTTTCAAAATAATTTTAAACAACAGATCTCTGCTAGAACCGTTTATTTGTGACTAAATAGTTTTTCGTATTTTATCTGCACCCTGTTAGGTTCAGTCCGGATTTCTTCCTTAAGTCTCGCAAGCACATTTAATAGGCAGCAGTCGCGTGCCTATCTCACGTTTTCATACCCGTTGCTCAGTCCATTCGCTACCGGATAGCCACCACCATTTGATGTTTTAAAACCTGCTTTTTTTCTACAAACAAACAAACAAACAAACAAACAAACAGCATTGCCAAATGGACCATTAACGGTGGTCCACTACACAGGGCACTTGCTAATCAGCAAATATATGCTTGCACAGAGGAAGTCGTCCGCTGCTCAATGCAGGGCTCATCTAACACAAAGACTGGCTTAGCTTAAGATTATGGACGACAGCAGAACAATTTTCGATGCGGGAAACAAAGTTATCGTGATCTGCAGTCGAATTGATTCGTTGTTCTTACTTCCGCAGGAGATCATTCGTGAAGATAGTGTAGCTAGATCTAGAATAAGATGTCAAGAACTATTTTGAATTACGTTAGTTTTACGCTATGAGCGTATAAGTTTAATCATCCAAGTGGAATAAACAGTCGCAGTTCAATTCTACGAAACGGGAACAAGATGTAAATCTTATGTTACCGGAGTAAATAAACTAGCCAAACAATCGTTATTGCTTATCATTTCATGAATAAGTTTGGAAGTCATCTCTAACAACAGGTGCGGTAAGTTCTACGAGAATGTCATTGCCACCACTTCACTTTTGTGTATTTTCCTTGCTTGAGATCTTGGCAAAACAACTTCTCCGTGCGTTCGCCCAGATTGCACGCATGCATATCATCTCAAAACAAGTTCGGTTACCTCGCGGTTTGCCCAGCATGATTTCGTTCAACCGTGTCCCAGATGCACCCGACCTTTTCCGTATAAGATTGATGCTTGCTCTACCTGTTGAATGCGATTGTTTACACTGAGGTTAATAAATTAACTGCCATTTTCACACGGCTTTGGCGATTATCTCGGTCTGGAGCCCATCAACACTATTGTTATCTGCGGTATCGTCTACCGATAAATCGTTTTTCAAATGAGTACCAGGCTTCACCACTATTACGGACGATCAAGCACACTACACCCTCAACCATCAATAACAATTTGGAGGCGGATATCGGAATATTTAGTGACGTACGTACATTTATCATCAATTGGTGCTTAACGACAGTGCGATTCCGATTCCATCTCGTCCGGCACCACAATTAAACGGGTCAATCTTTCTCTCGTTGATTGATGTTTTGATAATCGAAGAACACTCAAAATACGACCACTGTGCACAGCAAGAAGGCGTTCACGCGCGGCGACCGATCGGATCGTACTAAAGCGAGCCAAATGCGAAAACGATCGTACCTAACTAGTTCAATGCAGGCCTGGCTTCCACTCGCTCGAGATAACCGATTGACTTGCGCGCCAACTGATGGTTGGTGGTCAACTGCGGTTGATCAGCAGCAACACAGCAGCAGCGCGGGAACAGCGCCAATGTATGATAGCATGATTGAATGGGGACATAAATCGACAAAGGCTACGTGACAAGTTATTCGCGAAATATGCGGATTGCGGGTTTCATTGAGATGAACAAAGGGAATGATGTAAGTGGAATTCTGTTAAGGCTATCACACTCATGTTCCCTGGTGAATAGTTTCAAATCACGATGCTCAGCATGACGATTATTTGTGTTCTTAAGTTCAAATTTCAAATTGGTAAATTTTTCTAAAATTGCAAATCGAACCAATATTTTCAATCCCAATTTGTGAACTATCTCACCTAGTTTGACCCATAGCATGATTACTTCTTGGCTAGAACGTACGGAAATCAACATTTAGGCGATTTACAGTGTTCGGAGGTTGTGTAGAGTTTATGTAGCGGTACTTGACGTTGGTACTTTATGCAAGGTTTACTGTTGATTTTATAATCATTTTATTGAATATTATTTAGCATATCAATTTATGTAAATATATCATAAATACTTCGTTTGCTAAGTAAATCGACGTGCGAAAAATGGGGCGAATTGGGTGAATTGTGGATTTGAACTTTGCTCTTGTTGATGTTACATTGCAGAGCACTTAGCACGTCTGATCTATGTTAGTTGGGGTTCGAGTTTAAAAACTTTTATTGACTATTCAGTTAGGAAGCTGATACGATTTTACAAACACGTGGCGCAAATTTGAAACTTGTCAAGTGAATCATACTTTTCTGACTTTCTTCATCTTCTTGGATTCTAACATAAAAATGCACGTCCCGAAAATTCCCTAGGCTTCTATAGAAAAACTTAAATCACAATCTAGATCGGTTTGTTTAAAGCAAACTCGATAACTTGTAATCTTTGATCATGCTATCTAAGGTCGGTTGAATATTCTAAGGTTGGTGTTTTTTTTGTTAATTTATTTATTTGTACAAGCTCAATCGGATAAACTTTACAGAGCCAAATTATCTTTTGCGTTTTACATTATTAATCTCTTAAATCTAAAGTTAAAATCTAAAGTTAAAGGAATTGAACCGAATACTCACGGTCGTCTCGAGGTGAATGGAGATTTACGGTTTCATGGATCGAGAGAGGGAGAAGGAGGTTTGAAATATGATTTACGATACAAATATTTCATAATTCCTAAAACATGAACTTATTCCTATTCAACTTGATATCAGCAGTGTAATTCTACTAAACATAAAAAACAAACATTAAAGAAACCCACAGACACACACACACACACACACACACACACACACACACACACACACACACACACACACACACACACACACACACACACACACACACACACACACACACACACACACACACACACACACACACACACACACACACACACACACACACACACACACACACACACACACACACACACACACACACACACACACACACACACACACACACACACACACACACACACACACACACACACACACACACACACACACACACACACACACACACACACACACACACACACACACACACACACTGGTCCTCACAAGTTCCTACCTCACACCTCCCCGTGGTGTAGCCTGGGCAATGTTGTCCTTCTGACAATAGCAAAGTGAGGGGGTGCGACGCGAACACTGGCGCGGTAACCATAACACGGCGATCGAGGAAATGCTTCGTCAACCCGCAGGAGTGCCAACCGGCACATTAGGATCGACGCCAGTAAGATCCTTATTATGGCATACTGGATACGGCATGGAACTATGGACACGACACGGTACAATGGATTGGATACCACGCTACAGGGCTGACAGTCGTGCTATTCTGCTCCCTAAGTAAAGAAGGGTGACACCTTCTTGAAATGGCGAGTGGGCTAATAGTGCGGCTGCCCCCGTCCCGGTAAAACCTTGGCAGGCCTCCGGATACGTTCAAAACTCGTCACCAATTGGTGATTGGTGAGTAGTAGACTCAGATGTAACATTCCTGACTTACGCCGATCTGGCTCTGAACACGGCCCCCATGAAGGACCGTGTCAACCCTAGCATGGCCTCCCTGCTTGCATAGATAACCATGGGATCACGATAGGCGACTACATACAACGAGTGGAGATAGCGGCCCGGAGGAGGGACCCAACAGAATGGAGAAAAACGGAGAAAAAAACAAAAAAGAAGAAAATGAGAAAACCCAAAAAAATATGAAGGACGACGGCAAGACGCCAGAAATTGAAAACGGAGGAGCGAACGTGTTCGCAAGGAGCGGGATATTGCAGAGATCACCAGTGTTGAACCTGGAGGCAACAGCGAGTTCCAACAGCAGCAGTAAGCCCCAAGGTGAGCAGCAAGGACACCAAGGAGAGCTAGGTCTTATGCTAAGCCAGGTGTTCACACCGAAATCCAGCAGTAGCACACCCCAAGAAGGATTGCAGCTTGGGAAGACCAAATTGATGGAGGTCAGGAGGAGGATCAATGAACTCCATGACTTCATCAAGGATAAGAGCAACGTCCACAAGGCAATAAAGGAAATGGTGACGGGCATCAAATCCGCCATTATTGCTGCCGAACGTGAACAGGATGCGCTGAGGACGAGGTCCGTAACTGCCGAAAGGGCACTGATCGAGGCCAAGGAGAAAGCAGCAGCTGAAATACAGGAGACGCCAAAGGGACCTCGAAATCCACGCTCGGAGAAGAGGAAAAGGGAAACTCCAGGAGAGGAAGAGGAGTTGAAAAAAGTCAAGAACGACAAAGAAGACAACAAGGAGGAAGGCTGGCGTACCGTCGAGAAGCCAAAGGAGAAGTGGAAAAAACGGAAGGAAAAAGACATGAAGAAGAAAGCTGAACAGAAGAAGGTGATACCCAGGACTCGTCGGGAGCGAAGTAAGGGCGATGCTCTGATCGTCGAAGCTAAGGACAAAACGTCGTATGCAGCACTCCTCCGGAAGGTACGAGAGGATCCGGAGTTGAAGCAACTAGGAGAGAACGTGGTGAAAACCAGGCGAACCCAGAAAGGTGAGATCCTCTTTGAGCTGAAGAAGGATCCTGCTATCAAGAGCTCAGCCTTCAAGGAGCTCGTCGAAAAGTCTCTTGGCGAAGGGGCGAGCGTAAGAGCTCTATCCCAGGAGACAGTGGTCGAGTGCAGGGACCTGGACGAGATCACCACAGAAGAGGAGCTAAGAAGTGCGTTGAGAGTGCACTGCGATCTGGGAGACGTCCCGATGTCAATCCGCATGAGGAAGGCGTACGGCGGCATGCAAACGGCGGTTATACGGCTTTCGACAGCTGCAGCGAATAAGCTGTTGGAGACGGGCAAGGTCAAGGTTGGCTGGTCATTGTGCTCGCTGAAAGCCACTCCTCGGGTTACCAAGCAATTGGAGCGATGCTTCAAGTGCATGGGATTCGGTCACCAGGCGAGGAACTGCAATGGCCCTGACAGATCTGATCTGTGCAGGAAATGCGGAGAGAAAGGCCATATTGCAAGAGGCTGCACGAAGCATCCGAGGTGTATGCTCTGCAAAAAAGAGGACGGTAACGATCATACGACGGGAGGCTTCAAATGCCTAGCATACAAAAAGGCGATGGCAGGCCAACAGTAATGGAGGTAACCCAAATAAACCTCAATCATTGCGACATTGCTCAGCAACTGTTGTGGCAGTCGACAACAGAAACAAAGTGCGACGTTGCAATCATTGCGGAACCGTATCGAGTCCCTCCCGATAACGGTAACTGGGTTGCGGATAGAGCTGGGATGGCAGCTATACAAGTTATGGGCAGATACCCCATTCAAGAAGTGGTTGCGAGCTCATACGAAGGCTTCGTCATCGCCAAAATCAACGGAATCTTCATGTGTAGTTGTTACGCACCCCCCAGATGGACGATGGAGAAGTTCCACGAGATGCTTGATGGACTTACCGAAGAGCTGGTCGGACGACGACCGGTAGTCATCGGAGGAGACTTCAATGCTTGGGCAGTGGAGTGGGGAAGCAGGTGTTCCAATGCAAGAGGGCACAGTCTGCTGGAAGCTCTGGCAAAACTGGAAGTTATGCTGGCCAATAAAGGCACCAGCAGCACTTTTCGCAGAGATGGCCGAGAATCCATTATCGACGTTACTTTCTGCAGTCCGTCGCTGATGGCAAACATGGATTGGAGAGTGTGCGAAGGATATACCCATAGCGACCATCAGGCGATACGATATGGCATCGGTCAACGGAATACTGTGGCAGTACGGAGGACGAGAACTTGTGACCGAAAGTGGAAGACGAAAGCTTTCGACAAGGATTTGTTCGTTGAGGCACTTCGTGTGGACGGGAGTCCCGTAGATCTAAATGCGGACGAGCTGACAGAAACGTTAGTGAGAGCATGTGACACGACCATGCCGAGGAAACTGGAGCCAAATAACAGACGGCGTCCAGTCTACTGGTGGAACGAGGCACTTAGTACTCTCCGCGCTAGTTGTCTCAGAGCCAGAAGACGTGTTCAGAGAGCAAGAACGGAAGCAGACAGAGAGGAACGAAGAGAAGTGTTTCGAGCGGCCAGGGCCGCTTTTAAACGAGTGATTAAGCAGAGCAAGTCGAACTGTTTTAAGGAGCTGTGTCAAGACGCTGATGCCAACCCCTGGGGCGACGCATACCGAGTCGTGATGGCGAAGATCAGAGGTCCAACGATGCCCGCTGAAATGTGCCCAGAGAAGCTGAAAGTCATCGTGGAAGGACTTTTCCCGAAGCACGACCCAACAACCTGGCCACCTACACCGTACGGAGAAAGAGAGGGAGATAACGTCGAAATCACCAACGAGGAGCTCGTAGTAGTGGCGAAAGGATTGAAGGTGAAGAAAGTTCCCGGTCCGGATGGAATCCCCAACGTAGCGTTGAAAGCGGCGATCCAGTCATCCCCGGACATGTTCAGGATGGTGCTGCAGAAATGCCTGAACGAGGGTCACTTCCCTGACAGGTGGAAGATA